ACTACCGGAAGAATCAACTTGAGAATTCATGGTCCCAGTACTCATGTACTTAGAAATAAAAGAGAAATGTCTTGATCAAAACCCAGTATTACATCAATATCCCTGTGAAGGCGATAGCCTCTCTGGGGGGGTTGGGGGAACCCTGAAAATGAATTGAAACAGATATGCTGTTTATGACACACCGTGTTGGGTTGTCCCTGTCTACTGGGGACATGGAAGGAGGTGACAGAGGCTAGAATCCCAGGTTACTCTGTTACTGTATGGCGGCCTGCTGATACCTTTGTTCAGAAAAGCCTGGAAAAGGTGGTATGTTTTCATTCAAAGAAGCTTGGACTAGACGACATAGAGAATCTCTTTTTATTACAAGAACTGTGACATCATTACTCAGGCCACTCTCTTGTTCTCTAAGGACCAGCACTGTGACATAGATCGACATTGTTCTGCTTTTATGAAAGACCAAATGAAGACCGTTTGGTTAATCACATAGTTATCCTGTTTAACATACAGTCAGCATCAGTGCTTACAGTCACTCATGATCAAACCACACGTCTATGTGGGGCTCCTGAGGTTTGGGGCCCCCTGTTGGGCACAAACAGTCACTACACCAAATAAACATGTTCCTTATTTAGAATATGCTGAAGCAGTGTGTTCTGCTAAGCGGCTAGCCAGCTAGAATCCTAATGCTCTATAGAATAATTTAGTTTCTGAAACAACTGAGGAGGGTTGGGGGGGGCTTCTGAGTGGGGCCCCTACATATCGGTGTATAATCAGAGCCTCTCCTGTGAATCATGACAATGGGGTTAGAGTTAGGGTCCCCCCAGTCTCAGAGGCGCTGCTCAGAGTCAGATATACGGGGTCCAACTGTCCCCCCAGGCTTAGAGGTGCTGTTCAGAGTCAGAAGTACAGTGTCCTCCCACATCCCCCCCACCCCACAGAGTCAGATATAAAGTGTCCTAAGCCCCCCTCCCCCACAGGCTCAGAGGTGCTGCTCAGAGTCAGCTATACAGAGGCCTACCTTGCCCCCAGGCTCAGATGCACCATTCAGAGATATACTCCTCTCACACCATTATTTGTCACAGTCATCTACCTTTAACCCCCCCCCCCCCCCCAAGTCCTGCCCATATCATTGTTTTCTTATCTGACTTTATATTTGTCTCGAGATGCTGTGCTTTTTGGCAAAAATGGATAGTAAGCAGTTGTTTGATCTGTGGATCAGCCAAACTGTACGTCGGGATTCAAAGGGGCTCGCCAATAATGTCACAGGGGCAACGATGTGAATACAAAATCAAAAATGGAGACACTGAACTCACCATTGGGAATTCAGAACAGATTAATGAAAACCAACTCATTGAAGGATAAATCGGGACCAGTGCCAGAGAGTTTGGGCAATTCCTGAGCATCAGATTTATCAGGAATTACAACTACTGCATATATATGACTTTTGCGTCCTAAAGATACAAACAATAATGAGCGTGCTAATGACAGAAACAATACAGATCTGAATGAAAGAAAAACTTACAATGCAGACACACAGCACAGACAGTGCAAACACACAGCACAGACAGTGCAAACACATAGCACAGACAGTGCAAACACATAGCACAAACAGTGCACGCAGCACAGACAGTGCATGCAGCACAGACAGTGCATGCAACACAGACAGTGCATGCAGCACAGACAGTGCATGCAACACAGACAGTGCATGCAGCACAGACAGTGCATGCAGCACAGACAGTGCAAACACACAGCAAAGACAGTATAAATACACAGCAAAGAGAGTACAAACACACAGGACAGACAGTGCAAACACAGTACAGACAATACAAACACACAGTACAGGCAGTGCAAACACAGTACAGACAATACAAACACACAGTACAGGCAGTGCAAACACACAGTACAGGCAGTGCAAACACACAGTACAGACAATACAAACACACAGTACAGACAGTGGAAACACAGTACAGACAATACAAACACACAGTACAGACAATACAAATACACGGTACAGACAGTGCAAACACACAGAACAGACAATGCAAATAAAGGACAAGCAATGCAACCACATAGTACAGACAGCGCAAGGACCCTAAAGCCTCATTTCCACCAACACGGTGCTGGGCTTTGTCCCAGCGCGGCCCTGGTTCTGTGCATTTCCAAAAAGCCCAGAAATAACGGCTCCAGCACAGCACCACAGAGAAGTTGGGCTTCCAAATTGCTATATCAATGATGGAAAACAGCGAAAAATTAAGCCAGTGGTTAGTGGACGAAAAAAATGCCCGAGTTAGCTACATGGTCATCAACTGTGATGCAGCGTTAATTAGAAAGCATGCACTGAAGTAAGGTATATGGAGAAATAGGGTCGCGATTGGAGGACGCAGGCTATCGCAGACACATACACCAAATAACAAACAAATTTTAAAAAGTTAAAAAGGATAAAAAAAAGAACCAAGATAAAGTGGTGGAGGAAGAAAACAACCATAATCCAGAATAAATTTGTACCTGCTGCACAACGTGCTTAGCGATAAGCTGCTTCATAGTACACACGTTTAATTTAGCTTTTTAAAAAAAATTCGACAATCTTGATGACAACACTGCATCTAGGGAAATTCAGTGAAGCCGACGGCACCCACAGAAGTCAGAGGAGGTAAACAAACGGATATACTTGCCGGTGTTTAGCTTGTGCAAACCTCCCACCATGTGTGCATCTTGCAGTTCAGCGTCTGACAACCTTGTGTTTCCCGTCTGGGTTTTTGGTTCGCTGCTCGTTGGATGCCTGATTTAGTCCTTTTAAGGACTGCGAATAAAGAGCGTGTTCTCCCGGGCAAGCAAGTGTCTGTGTCTTTCTCTGCTCCCACGATGCCTCGGTCTGCCCAACGCCACAATATCATTCTGTCCTATGACTATGAATGTGACGATACATAAGTAAAAGGTGGGGTTCATTTTCGTGTGCTTTGATTTAATTTTCCCAAATTCATCTAAAGGTACCGACGCTCCTGAAGATACTGGTTCTACTTCATGTACCAGTGGAACTCCACAGTCATCACCATGTACTGTAGAAGGCCCGCTGTAGCCAGAAGAGGTAAAAGGAGGACACTTCATGCAGTACAGCCACAGACGGCCTTTCGTGAATTGAATGTTTTTTCAGCACTGCTATGTTCTTCAGAGGGAAAAGGAAGCCAGAAAGACAGGAGCTGTTGGACTATTTTGAGCAATCAGATGAGTGATTCCTGGACCAGAGCAGAGCAATGACTGCCTGGTCAAAGAGGAAACACGACATCGGCTGTGCTGGGCATCATGGAGCAGATGGTTTCAGCTACGGAGAAAGAATAGTTAGGGCATGGCAAAGACTTGTCTAATTTATTGGGATGTAGCACTCTGGACTTTTCAATAAAGCGTTTTGTTTATAGCTTTGTCTTCATTTATCAATTGTGCACATAAAATGCTTTTGCTTTTAGAGAGCAGCTTTATTTTCAGCAATCACAGACTTAACACATCAATTTAAAATGTGTACACTCCAAGACATTTTCACTTTAATTTCTGGAACGCATCAATTTTCCTGGGCATTGAAGCAATCCATTAATATAGCTAGAACTTCACTTCCTTCTTGCTGGCCAGTCTCGGGTAAAACACTGAGGACTCCATGTTCACATGCTCTTCACAAACCAGTCACCATTCTCTTCACAAATGTTGTGCAACACACACGTGAGCAGCATTGTTTTTGTCATGTCCACTTTGCAGTCATTTCTCTTTGACAGACACCACCATCTTCCTTTATGCCTCCCAAGTTATATAAAGATACTGTAAGTTATATAAGCAATTCCAGTAACATGTATAAATGGGTATGAACATCCTAATACACCCTGGATTGGAAGCTGAAACACTGTAGCTACATACATGTTTTCTAAAGAGGCACATTGGTGACGTCTCTCACAGGATCTGAGTTATCATTCCCAACCAATTGGGCTCATGTGGAATACTTCATTAAGCTATGGTCCCACACGGATGCACAGAGAAGGACATTTTAAATGACAAGCAGTGCAGCGTCCTTCTTTTGGACAGAGAAAACTATGAAACAAAAACACTGTATGCTGTTTGTCATTAAATAATTTAAATCCACCTCCGTATCCCATTTATTTTACTGGTTCCCTGACAGTGTCTGACAGCATATACACTATATTGCCAAAAGTATTGGTGTGCAGTCATGTTGAAACTGGAAGGAGCCATCCCCAGACTGTTCCTACAAAGTTGGGAGCATGAAATTGGTTTCAAATGCTGCAGGACCTGTTCATTCAGGACCTGCCACTGCAGGTTCCATCGTACAAACTCAATTCGTGGGGTCTTTTACCATTTCTTATATGATCAGCCCCTTGGCGGTGCGTTTGAAGCTGTGTAAGAATTGGATATCCATAACATGCAATATCGCACGTCACCCAGCTCTGTAATATACTACAGCCATTTTTGCAAATCAGTACAAGTTGTCATTTGGCGCCGGTACCAGTTTTTATGTCAGTATAAAACCAACACCTTGAAGTACCACACTTTTGGACCTTCTTGGGGGGGGGAGCAGAGACATGGAAACATCAGAAGATCCCACACAGAAAATCCTGAGGCTAATTTTGACCACATTCAGGTTATTGCTGGACCTTGTAATTCTGCTATCAGCTTCGGGGCTGACCAGCAGTGACAGGGGGCTTCCCTGGACGTTTACATTAAAGGCAGGAAGCGTTCTGTGACAGAAGTGCTCAGCCTTAGGCGTCTCACGGGGCAGTTATTCACCATGCCGCAGCTGTAAAAGCCTTCACCAAACAGTCGTTTTAAAATGCATTAGAAAATGCTTTGGCTGCAGGAGCGACTGTCCCCACCGGCTTCTGCGCGACTGCAACATTGCATTTTGTTTACTGGCTGCAGCCACAAATTCAGAGGGGGGACCTCTCCTCCCTTCTTTTGTGTCTGTTTTGTTTTTTTTTCCCTCTTTCTTTTTTCCATCTTTACTGGGGACTTGAGAATGGCAGCCAATAAGGAGCAGAGTTTCCCCTCCGTCTCAGCCTCCCTGCCACTGAAAGTGATGCTGCGGGACACAGAGGGGAGGAGGGAGGGAGGCAGGGGGTTAGAGAGATACAGAGGGAGATAGAAAGAGGGAGTGAATGAGAGAGAGAGAGAGAGAGAGAGAGAGAGAGAGAGAGACGCAGCTGGGCAGGGGACTGCAAGCCACAGAGGTTATGCAGCAGTGAAGGACTCCGTACCGCTCCGCACCTCTCAGCGTTTAAGGAGAGTCTCCCAGCTGGACACCGGTAAGTGACAAGCAAGTTTATCCCCACTTTCCCTTTGTCTTAAAGCCCGACGATTCTTCCGGGCACTTTGGGGAAGAATGCATATGGAGAGAGCAAATGCGGGCTGCCGCGAGTCTTAATATGGGGTTAAAACATGCATCTGTATACGGGAGTTATAGCATGTATGCGCTATGCACGCGCCTCGCACCTGCCTCTGCGGTCCGCACGAGATAAAACACACTGTGCCCCGGATATTGCATTTTAATGCTGGAGCATGCGTTAAACCGTATGCACAATTTAAAGATTTATATCGTTCTTAAAAGACCATATCACTCATTTGCCCAGTTGTATGCAGTAAATGGAAAATGTACACATAGGATGTAGGGTACCTCTCACTTCACAGTAATAGTATTTATTCAGTTATTAAGATGGAAATTGCATATTACTACCATCATCTGAGTGTGGGAAAAAAAACTCATTGGGAATCATGTGGAGTCTATATTTGCACGTTTTATAATCACTGGTAACTATGGCCTGTACCTCCTCACCACCTCCACCCCAAGTCTGTTATCGTTTTACCCACCCCCCCCATTTGATTCTGCTTTCTATGTACAGATAGGTGGAAACATCAAAATGGGTTTTCATTACCATCCTGTCCAGGGGTTGGGATGGAACTCCAGTGGTGGGGTTAGGGTTACACATGGACCATCCTGCAACATACGATTTCCACATGGCTGGCTTGCATTGTTTTAGTTATTAAAGAGGCGCATGCATGCAAAAGGCCAGAAGATGAGGGATCGTGCATATAAAATGCAGCACTGTACTGTAATGGGTCTTTCACGATAGGGGGAAGAAACTGGTTTGTCATGGGGATCTCTGTCAGAGTTTTCCGGGGCTGTGGAGCAGTGTGGCCGTGATCTGGGTGTTTAAACGCCCTGCCCCCCGTGTACACTGGACTGGTTCGGGTCGACATTAATATATAAGGGGCACCTTGCAACATAAATTACGCTAAATTTGCGCGGATGAATATCCCCGGCTCGGGGAAAATGCAAGCGCTGCAAACATGCGCATTATATGCTGTGGTTGGAGGGAGGGGATGAAAGGAGAAAAGGACTCAGCGCGTGTTGTGATGTGATGCCAGAGGTCCCTGTGGGACAGAGGGGACAGCTGCACGAGCGCAGTCCCGGGCTCGCGTGCCCCACAGTGGGATGGGGGATCGTTAAATGGACCTTTAACACATAATTATAATTTCATTTGAGGATCTGAAGGGGTTTTACAGTGCCTGTCTTGGTTTGTTTTTCATGCATCACTAGATTACGTGCAGTTAATATGACGTTGGCCATTTTAGTTGAAAATGATAAATGATGGACATGGATTGGATTCTGCACGTTCAACATCTGTACAATGCAATTATATATAGCATAAAATAAAGAAAATGAAAAATATATATTTGTTAAAATAAAAAAAGATGTCTTACATAGTCTATATACATATTTTACTCATTGTGTATAATTGTTTAGACAGAAAAGGACTGTTTATTACCAAGATGTGGCAGTTTAATCAGTTTGAATCAATATTTGCAACAAACGGACAACAACAACTGAAACTGGCCAGCCAATCTAAGTGCCAGTTTGAGGAAAGTAAAACTAAGTCTTCCTTTAGATTGATTTAAATTGTCCATCCATTCATCCATCCATCCATCCATCCAATAACTTCCGCTTATCCGAGGTCAGGTCGCGGGGGCAGCAGTCTCAGCAGGGAAACCCAGACTTCCCTCTCCCCGGCCACTTCCTCCAGCTCCTCTAGGGGAATCTCGAGGCGTTCCCAGGCCAGCCGAGAGACATCGTCCCTCCAGCATGTCCTGGGTCTTCCCTGGAGGCTCCTCCCAGTGGGACATGCCTGGAACACCTCACCAGGGAGGCGTCCAGGAGGCATCCTAAGCAGATGCCCGAGCCACCTCATCTGGCTCCTCTCAATGCGGAGGAGCAGCAGCTCTACTCTCAGTCCCTCCCGAATGACCGAGCTCCTCACCCTATCTCTAAGGGAGAGCCCAGCCACCCTGCGGAGGAAATTCATTTTGGCTGCTTGAATCTCGTTCTTTCGGTTACTACCCACAGCTCGCGACCATAGGTGAGGGTAGGAACGTAGAATGACTGGTAAATTGAGAGCTTTGCCTTTTGGATCAGCTCCTTCTTCACCATGACAGTCCGATGCAGCGCCCGCATCACTGTTGATGCCGCACCGATCCGCCTGTCGATCTCCCGCTCCATCCTTCCCTCACTCGTAAATAAGACCCTGAGATACTTAAACTCCTCCACTTGGGGAACGGCCTCCTCCTCGACCCGGAGAGATCACTCCACCCTTTTCCGGCTGAGGACCATGGTCTTGGATTTGGAGGTGCTGATTTTCATTCCAGCCGCTTCACACTCGGCTGTGAACTGCTCCAGTGACAGTCGAAAGTCACGGTCCGATGAGGCCACATCATCTACAAAAAGCAGAGAACTAATCCTGAGGTCACCAAACCGGACACCCATGCTCTGGCTACACCGAGAAATTCTGTCCATAAAGGTTATGAACAGAATCGGTGATAAAGAGCAGCCCTGGTGGAGTCCAAGCCTCACCAGGAACGAGTCCAACTTACTGCCGGCAATGCGGACCAAGCTCTTACACCGGTTGTACAGGGACCGAACAGCCCTTATAAGGCAGCCCGGCACCCCATATTCCCGGAGCACTCCCCACAGGACTCCCCACAGGATTCCCTGAGGGATGCGGTCGAATGCCTTCTCTAAGTCCACAAAGCACATGTACACTGTTTGGGCAAACTCCCACGCAACCTCCAGGACCCTGCCAAGAGTATAGAGCTGGTCCACTGTCCCACGGCCAGGGCGAAAACCACACTGCTCCTACTGACCCTCCTCTCCATCACCCCCGAATAGACCTTACCAGGGAGGCTGAGGAGTGTGATCCCCCTATAGTTGGAAAACACCCTCCGGTCCCCCTTCTTGAAGAGGGGGACCACCACCCCAGTCTGCCAATCCAGAGGCACTGCCCCCGATCTCCACGCGATGCTGCAGATGCGTGTCAACCAAGACAGCCCCGCAACATCCAGAGCCTAGAGGAACTCCGGGCGGATCTCATCCACCCCCCGGGCCCGGCCACCGAGGAGCTTTTTAACCACCTCAGCGACCTCTGCCCTAGAGATAGGCGAGTCCACCCCCAAGTCCCCAGACTCTACTTCCTCATTGGAAGGCGTGTCAGTGGGATTGAGGAGTCTTCTAAGTTTTCCTTTCACTGACCCATGACGTCCCGAGCTGAGGTCAGCAGTGCACCATCCCCATCATAAACAGTGTTGATGCTGCACTGCTTTCCCACCCTGAGACACCGGATGGTGGACCAGAATCTCCTCGAAGCCGTCCGGAAATCGTTCTCCATGGCCTCGCCAAACTCCTCCCATACCCGAGTTTTTCCCTCAGCGACCGCTGAAGCCGCGTTCCGCTTACCCCGCCGGTACTCATCAGCTGCTTCTGGAGTCCTACAGGCCAAAAAGGCCCAATAGGACTCCTTCTTCAGCTTGATGGCATCCCTCACCGCCGTTTTCCACCAGTGGGTTCGGGGATTGCCGCCGCGACAAGCACCGACCACCTTACGGTCACAGCTCCGGTCAGGTGCCTCCATAATGGAGGCGTGGAACATGGCCCATTCGGACTCGATGTCCCCCGCATCCCTCGGGACATGGGAGAAGTTCTGCCGGAGGTAGGAGTTGAAACTCCTCCTGACAGGGGATTCCACCAGACGTTCCCAGCAGACCTGCACTATGCACTTGGGTCTTCCAGGTCTGACCGGCTTCCTCCCCCACCTGCGGAGCCAACCCACCACCAGGTGGTGATCGGTAGACAGCTCCACCGCTCTCCTCACCCGAGTGTCCAATACATGCGGCCGCAAGTCCGATGACATGACCACAAAGTCGATCATCATTGTGTTCATTCTTTATTTGCTTTTTAAAACAAGACCTATATTATTTACTGACTGTAAAGGACATGCAATTTTTCTAGGTAATATAGACCTACATCGCAAAATTATTTTAATTGCATTAAAAGGTTGATGAACAAAACCCATGCTAACCCAGAAACAAAGGTACTGTGAGGGGTCAAAACAAAGGCAGACAGGCTAGAGGAAGAAACCAAGGCTAGAAACTCAAGGAAACACTGGCGTAACAGTAATACTTACCTTTAACAGGGGGTCCAAAACACATGTAACATCAGCAATCCATAAGCAGGGAAAAACACCCAGCACTAACAATGACTGACAGAGAACCAAAGTAAGGGTAGGTGCATACATTATATTGACAAAAGTATTGGGACACATGGCCAATTGGTCCACCCTTTCCAGGTATAACAACTGCCACTCTTCTAGGAAGGCTTTCCACAGATTTTGGAGTGTGTCTGTGGGAATTTTTGCCCATTGATCGTCGATCATTTCTGAGGTCAGACACTGATATTGGACAATCTCTGTTCTACTTCATCCCAAAAGTATTTGAAGGGGTTGAAGTCAAGGCTATGTGCACTGTGAGCCAGTCAAGTTCTTCTGCACCAAATTTACCCAACCATGTCTTTATGGACCTTGCTTTGTGTACTGGAGCACAGTCAAGCTGGAACAGAAAAGAGCCTTCTTCAAACTGTTCCCACAAAGTGGGAATCTGTCGTGACTTGTGCAGGCACAAACCGAGGAAACAGGAGCAAGAGTCGGGAGGTCGGGTAACGAGGACTTAATCAAGGAGAAAACACACTTCGGAACAGGACACAATGATTAAACGACGTTAATGACCGGACTGGGGAAAACATACCTAATGCAGACTTAAATACATAGGACTAATGACTATAACAGGAAACAGCTGGTAAACACAGGGAATCCACATGAGGTAGATGAGGGGGGCATGGCACACGGAAGGAGCAGACGAGCGGGGCATGACAGAATCATAGAATTGTCCATAAGGTCTTGGTATGCTGAAGCATTAAGAGTCC